CGTGGAACCAACACTGGTTATAAGTTCAGACCACGGTCTGAAAAGGCAGTATATGTTAGACCGCTGGAAAGAGAGGACGTGTGTGTGATCCAGTGTGAATGAGAAGAATCCTTGTCAACGTGAAACTGACTGCTTCAAGACGATGACTAGACTACAACATTCATCAAAGTAAAGTTCACCCAACTCAGTTGCGAGAAACCCCGAATGCAGTGACCAGAGTCATCCATGCGGAGATGTTGAAGTGAAGACGGAGAACTCTAGAGTGTGAACACGTTAGGATTCAATATATTGTGTCTGAACGATGAGTTGCTCGAATGCTGTGGTCGTTGAGTAGGACACGGACTGGACATGTTGTGTAAGTGCTTAAATGTTAATAAACAGTTATGTGTCATGGAGATGGTGTCTACTCGTAACATCTATTTCATCGTAGAGTGTCAGTCATATCATCCATTAGAGTACACCCCCTAGATAACAGCCAAGGGCCGAGCAGACAAATATTGCAAGGATGTTGCAGAATAACCTGAGTATTGTTTGGCTATCTGTGGTTTAACCAGGCAATTTTACTTAGTTCAGTAGTTTGCCATTGCTACTTCACAACTGCCAGTAACGTCATTGTTGAAATCAATGCAAAGCAGTCTATTGCCAAAGACTGTATTTGTAACCCCTGAGCCACATAATGACATGTATAATAAATCAGAAACCAGGTTAACAACTGCCATGACAATTCTACAAGCCCTATTAATATGCATCTACAAGTTATTGCTTGTTGTGTTCCAAGGAGCTGTGTGTATAATTTCCTCAAGTTGCTTCAACTTCATTCCATCTCAAAGCAGCCAGTATTTTCACACATTCTGACACTATGTAGACAACTCCAGAACTCTGCGCTGGCTGCTGAAGATGAGGACGGAGCAGGCTTGGGAATGCCCGAGTGCTGTGATGTCAATTCTTGACTCAACTGAACTCAACTCCAAAGGACAGTTTGAGAATAGTCACTCTTCATAGAAAAAAACCAAAAAAAAAAACCAGAAGGGATAATTATTTAGTAAAAGGACATAAGAACAGTTACACTCGTAGATCATGAGGCTTCAAAATAAGTACAACACTAGGTACGAGTAATAAAGTAATCAGTCTCATTTGCTGTTTACCTGACAATGCTTTATCCAGCACTTTCTCTTCAAGGTACTCGGAACCAGGAAAATTGAGGCCCTGAATGGGGGTAATTACCAGCAGACCTTGCTTCAGTGTGTACTGTGGGCAAACAGTAAACAATCATTGATACAGATGCACCGTGTGATGTCATTTTTCACTTCTATCTTATCATTCTTCTCCCTCCTCTTCTATCTTTTTTCTTTCCTTCTTCTGCTTCTAACTGTTCACAGAAGCACTGACTACTGAGGTCAAGCCTTCCTATCCTTGATATTCCTACAGCTCCCCTAGATGGGCAACACAAGGTCTCTATAACACTGGCCAGCCTTTGTGTGCCCAGCAGAGCAGGAACTTTATTCCTGGTTGTAACTGGTTGTGATTCTCATGCCTCTCTATGATACAGTATACTGTATTTCCACACGTATCAGACACACTTATTTTCCATTGTGGGTCTTATACAATAAATCTGACCACGACTGAAGTGTACACAGACCCTTGACGACTGATTGAGTCCCGTTCATTCATCACATCCCGCAGGTCTGCAGAAACTTTCATCCACAAGTTCAGTAACTTATCTAATCATATTTTCATTAGGTTATTTCCGTTACACATGTACACACACACACACACACACACACACACACACACACACACATGTATGAGCTGTCGGCCCATGACAGTACCACTTTATTCAAACTAATTCTTCTGCACCACACAACCATTAGTTAATAATTTTCTGTAATATAATAGCAACTCATTTTGTCTAAACATCCATTAAATCCACTCGTGGGGACTGAATATGAACATTCATGGCACTATATTCACATGTGGGGACTGAATATGGACATTCATGGCACTATATCCATGTGTGGGAACTGAATATGGACATTCATGGCACTATATCCATGTGTGGGAACTGAATATGGACATTCATGGCACTATATCCAGGTGTGGGGACTGAATATGGACATTCATGGCACTATATCCAGGTGTGGGGACTGAATATGGACATTCATGGCACTATATCCAGGTGTGGTGACTGAATATGGACATTCATGGAATTATATCCAGGTGTGGTGACTGAATATGGACATTCATGGCACTATATCCAGGTGTGGGGACTGAATATGGACATTCATGGCACTATATCCATGTGTGGGGACTGAATATGGACATTCATGGAATTATATCCAGGTGTGGTGACTGAATATGGACATTCATGGCACTATATCCATGTGTGGGGACTGAATATGGACATTCATGGCACTATATCCATGTGTGGGGACTGAATATGGACATTCATGGCACTATATCCAGGTTTGGGGACTCCATGAATGGGGGACTGAATATGGACATTCATGGCACTATATCCAGGTGTGGGGGACTGAATATGGACATTCATGGCACTATATCCTTGTGTGGGGACTGAATATGGACATTCATGGCACTATATCCTTGTGTGGGGACTGAATATACCATTTGTGGGGACACTCATGGCACTATATCCACGTGTGGGGACTGAATACGGACATTCATGGCACTATATCCTTGTGTGGGGACTGAATATAGACATTCATGGCACTATATCCTTGTGTGGGGACTGAATATAGACATTCATGGCACTATATCCTTGTGTGGGGACTGAATATGGACATTCATGGCACTATATCCATGTGTGGTGACTGAATATGGACATTCATGGCACTATATCCAGGTGTGGGGACTGAATATGGACATTCATGGCACTATATCCAGGTGTGGGGACTGAATATGGACATTCATGGCACTATATCCAGGTGTGGGGACTGAATATGGACATTCATGGCACTATATCCAGGTGTGGGGACTGAATATGGACATTCATGGCACTATATCCATGTGTGGGGACTGAATATGGACATTCATGGCACTATATCCAGGTGTGGGGACTGAATATGGACATTCATGGCACTATATCCAGGTGTGGGGACTGAATATGGACATTCATGGCACTATATCCAGGTGTGGGGACTGAATATGGACTATCATGGTGGGGACTATATCCATGTGTGGGGACTGAATATGGACATTCATGGCATTATATCCAGGTGTGGGGACTGAATATGGACATTCATGGCACTATATCCATGTGTGGGGACTGAATATGGACATTCATGGCACTATATCCAGGTGTGGGACTACTGAATATAGACATTCATGGCACTATATCCTTGTGTGGTGACTGAATATGGACATTCATGGCACTATATCCATGTGTGGGGACTGAATATGGACATTCATGGCACTATATCCATGTGTGGGGACTGAATATGGACATACATGGCATTATATCCAGGTTTTGGGACTAAATATGGACATTCATGGCACTATATCCTTGTGTTGGGACTGAATATAGACATTCATGGCACTATATCCTTGTGTGGGGACTGAATATAGACATTCATTGCACTATATCCTTGTGTGGGGACTGAATATAGACATTCATGGCACTATATCCATGTGTGGTGACTGAATATGGACATTCATGGCACTATATCCATGTGTGGTGACTGAATATGGACATTCATGGCACTATATCCTTGTGTTGGGACTGAATATGGACATTCATGGCACTATATCCATGTTCGGTGACTGAATATGGACATTCATGGTACTATATCCATATGTGGGGACTGAATATGGACATTCATGGCACCATATCCATGTGCAGGGACTGAATATGGACATTCATGGCACTATATCCATGTGCAGGGACTGAATATGGACATTCATGGTACTATATCCACGTGTGGGGACTGAATATGGACATTCATGGCACTATATCCATGTGCGGGGACTGAATATGGACATTCATGGCACTATATCCATGTGCTGGGACTGAATATGGACATTCATGGCACTATATCCATGTGTGGGGACTGAATATGGACATTCATGGCACTATATCCATGTGTGGGGACTGAATATGGACATTCATGACACTATATCCATGTGTGGGGACTGAATATGGACATTCATGGCACTATATCCATGTGTGGGGACTGAATATGGACATTCATGGCACTATATGAATATAAAGGAGCCTATTCTGGACAACTGTGACATTGTGCTGATGTGCTATGACCCTGTGCTGATGTACTATGACCCTGTGCTGATGTACTATGACCCTGTGCTGATGTACTATGACACTGTGCTGATGTGCTATGACCCAGTGCTGATGTGCTATGACCCTGTGCTGATGTGCTATGACCCTGTGCTGATGTGCTATGACTGAGCTGATGTGCTATGACCCTGTGCTGATGTGCCATGACCCCGTGCTGATGTGCTATGACCCTGTGCTGATGTGCTATGACCCTGCGCTGAAGTGCTATGACCCTGCGCTGATGTGCTATGATCCTGTGCTGATGTGCTATGACCCTGTGCTGATGTGCTATGACTCTGTCACAGAGATACCTTCATTTTATGGACTTCAAGTGAAACACATGTAGCAGTTTATACAGCTGTGAACAAAATACATCCTCTACATAATAACTGTCAAACTACTGTCTACTTTGTGAGACATTTTAAAATAAAATGTAGAGTGTGTCGTGTGTGTGTGTGGTGTGGTGTGTGTGTGTGGTGTGTGTGTGTGGTGTGTGTGTGTGATGTGTGTGTGTGTGTGTGTGTGTGTGTGTGTGTGGGGGTGTGTGTGTGTGGGTGTGGGTGTGTGTGTGTACGTGTGCATGTGTGTGTATGTGTGTACGTGTGCATGTGTGTGTGTGTGTGTGTGTGCGCGTGCATGTAAGTAAGCATCCTGTGGTTTAAAACTACAACATATGAACAATTATTGGTAGTGTCTATGATAAATTCCATACCTTGATTCTGGGACGAGCTATAGGGTACAGCAACAACACTACAGACAAACCTATGCCAATGAGAATGCCATACTGAAAGTATAAACAAATGCAACTCTTCAATGCACAAAGTTCTGTAATGAGAACTCTTCAGGTTAGAGTTCTATAATGACAACTCTTCAGTAAGCAAAGTTATAATAACTCTTCAATGCACAAAGTTCTGTAATGAGAACTCATCAATACACAGAGTTACAACTTACTCTTTGTTTTTGATTTGGTATACTAAGGTCACATGGTCAGCTGGGTTGCCTCTATGAAATCGCTTGTCACTTGCAGGTCTCCTGTAGTTTCCCATAGCTAACTCTGCACACTTTGCTCTTGAGGCCAAGTTTTTTAAAGTTTAATAATGTCACTGGAGGTTAGGAAGAGAATTCTCACAAGCTATGCAGATCTGGTTTTAACATACAGTTGTAAATACTGGACAATCAATAAATACGCCGAACAATATCTTGAGGCTTCAGAGATGTAGTTTTACAGAAGAATCCTTGTAATTCCTTTGACAGCTAAGAAGAGTAACTGCGATGTTTTGAAAGAGGCAGATGCTCGTAGACAACTACAACTTATCACAAACATCACAAAGAGACAGTCATCATTTTCTGGTCATGTTATGAAAAGAGGGAAAATGAAACTTGTTGTAACTACTGGAAAGATTTGTGGGAAGAGAGACAGAGGGAGACAGCGGAAAAAGATTCCTGACAGCCTTTTGTCATGGCATGGAGGGATGTCAACACACAAACTGATACAGATTATGGAGAGGCATGATCGCCCTCACCAGTCAGCAAGGCACTTGATGATGATGATAGTGATGACTGATAACTGTTTAATACACAAAGTTCAATAATGATAACTCTTAAATGCACAGTTCTATAATGATTGACATCTCTTCAGTATACACAGTTCTGTAATAACATCTCTTCAACATTCAGTTCTGTGAGAAGACACAAAGCTCTGTGACAACAATACACAAAGTTCTGTAACGATAACACAAATTTCTGTAACGATAACACAAAGTTCTGTGATAACAATACACAAAGTTCTGTGATAACAATACACACAGTTCTGTGATAACAATACACAAAGTTCTGTAATAACAATACACAAAGTTCTGTAATAAAATCTCTTCAACATTCAGTTCTGTGAGAATACACAAAGCTCTGTGACAACATTACACAAAGTTCTGTAACGATAACACAAAGTTCTGTAATGACAATATGCAAAGTTTTGTAATAACAATACACAAAGCTCTGTGACAACAATACACAAAGTTCTGTAATGATAACACAAAGTTCTGTAACGATAACACAAAGTTCTGTAACGATAACACAAAGTTCTGTAATGACAATATGCAAAGTTCTGTAATAACAATACACAAAGTTTTGTGATAACAATACACAAAGTTCTGTGATAACAATACACAAAGTTCTGTGATAACAATATGCAAAGTTCTGTGATAACAATACACAAAGTTCTGTGATAACAATCTGCAAAGTTCTGTGATAACAATATGCAAAGTTCTGTGATAACAAAACAAAAAAGTTCAGTAACAACATCTCTTCAATATACAAAGTTCTGTAAAAACAATTTACAAAGTTCTATAATAATAATACAAAAAGTTCTGCAATAACATCTATAAAGGGTTCATACATTCTATGTTCCAAACCTCAAATGTTTCGTTTCCTGTTTAAATCCATCCAAAATCGAGGCTTAGATATCTTTTTTGTGATGAAATGAAAACATTGAATGTTGAATGCTGAATTAGGAATTGACATCACAGCACTCTGGACACTCCCATAAGTGCTCCATCCCCATATTCAGCAGCAAGTGAACAGTTCCAATTCCAATGGCACCAGTAACCATCTGATTGTATATCCATCTTATCCTTTTCCTGAGTTGAGCATAGGCCAGATCCCCTGGCAACTCCTCACAGCCCCATTCTCCTCAGACTGCAATGATCTGTCTGCACCTCTGTACTGTTCATTCGTTCCCAAAGAGCCCTCACAATATCTAGCTTGTCATACATCAATTCCCCACCAAGTGGTGCAGAGTTGGCCAGTCAGTCTGCTCATTTCCCAACACTCTGGCATAACCTGGAGAAAATATCCAAAGGATGCTAACTACCCAGGACCTCTGCAGTGATGCTTGCCACTCGGCATGAAGCATGTGTGTCTTCATCTTTCTCAACATGCTCTATGAGTCAGTTACAATCACGGCATGTGTGTACAGCTGATTCTCAAGCCAACAGAAGGCAGCAGAGACTGCCTCCACCTACATCCACAAACTAGACGTTGTGATATATGCAAGGCTTTGCTGCACTAAGCGATATCCATTCGCCTTTTCTATGAACCCCCATGCACTTCGTCTGCCCTTCAACACAGAGCCATCTGTATAGATAATCATATCACTTGGGTGGGAATTGTCATGAATCATTTGTTAAACTTCTGATTCTGCAGCACCAGCGGGATAATCTCTGCACTCACAACCTAAAGTGATCAGAAACCAACACAAGTCTGAAACTTGTTCGTTAATGAAAACACTAACACTGCCATGCTCACAACGGGTGTCTTGGTTTAGAGATGCAAATATGGCAGCTTTGTTGTAAACTGATGGAGCATAACCACTGGCCATTTTCTGGACAAATGAAGAGTGAGAAGAGATTCGGAAGAGGGAGGAGGAACAAAAGAAGAAGCAGAGGAATATGAACACGAACAGGACAGTATTGTCATTAGAGAAGAAAAAACTAACTACTTACAAACAAAGCTTACCTCGATTCCAACAACTAGAGAGCATACAAATGTAATGATGAAAGACAGAAGATCCCATTCTGTAAAAAAAGACAATAAAAAAATAAACATCAGTGAGATGTCATAAACAAAAATATTCACAAGCATGATCTGAAAAATGGTTTCTGATTAGTTCCTTTTGTTGTCAGGTCATATAACTTAAGATCATAAGCCACGTCATAGATTTGTGGAAAGGGTATGGGACAGAGTATTGATGATAAATAATACTTGTGACATCCTATGTTTGTGTTTGACGGACCTAGAGGTGCACCAGCGAATTCATGATGTATGGAAAACCTGAGACGGCTTGAACACTGGTACTAGATAGATGTTTGACCCAAAGCTGAACGGGGAGGATGGGAAGGGGGAGAAGAGGAGAGGGATTTGGACAAGGACAGTAGTTCCTATGTTCAGGGCAGTTGTGCCCTCCTTTAAAAAATATCAGGATCTGGTTAAATTTTTCAACCAAGGTAAATCCATTTCAGCATGGACACAAAATTGTGAGTACATGGCAAAACACTTTAAAGTACCACTTACAGAATGCTAACTAGTTTACACAAAACATCTAAGGGGTGAACCATTGAAACTGTTAGAAACAATTCTTGTTGAAAAGTTAGATGATCATGAGTTTGTGAAAGGTACAGTTTTACAGCATTTTGCACTAGATGAGGAATCTTATGGGGAAACTTTAAAAAAATCTGTCACCAAAACCTGAACAAACTTTCATTGACTACATGTCACAAATTGAGGCTTCCTTTGATAAGTGGATAACATCTTCTAGGATTGGTAAATCTTTTGATTAGAGATAAGGTTTTATCTAGTGTACCCATAACATAATGACAATCTTAATTGAGCAAAAGCCATCCACAGTCAAAGAAATGGAAACATCAGGAGCAGCTTATTTCCATGCTCATAGAAACATTTTCATTTTCGGTAAAGGCTCAGATGTCAATTATGGGACAGCTGTGAAATCTGTGTACAGAAAGAAATTGTACCACACCGAGGCTTCAAGAAGGACATTCAAAGACCATAGGAGTCACAGATCCTTTAAGGATAAGGGTCTGATGATAACATGCCCTTATTGTAAAACGGAGCATGGTAAAAGGCAGTGGTGTGAGGAGAATCCAGGATTCGAACAGCATGTCCAGAACTGGCTTAAGAGGAGAACAGAATGGAAAAGCCTGCCTCGTGAATGCCGCATCTGCCGTGCAATTAACCACTTGCCAGGAAAAATGCAAGTACCTAAAACAATATCATCAGAGTGCCGCGGCGGAGACTTCTGAGAGTAGTGCAAATGACAGTGATGGTATGATGTTGGGTCTAGGTATTCCTGAACAGTCAACCACAAATGCTGCAGAGATTGTGGACTTTGCAGAAATGAAGTGTCAAGTATGCAAAACATTCAATGATAATGGTAAACTGACATGTGGCCATGATGTATTAGCAACAGGAGATGCAAATGCTGCAACCGGCTTTGATGGAAAACTCAAACTTAGCAAAGGTTTCATCAACGGACAGGAATGTACAATCTTGAGAGATTCTGGTGCATTGGGCATCAGATAGAGCTTGGTGAATTACTGTGATTACACAGGGGAATTATTGTATGTCGTACGTTCTCTGGAAGGAAAGAAAGGTATGAGTTGGCATGGGCCAATCTCAAATCAGCATATTGTACTGGAAAGACGAAGTTTGCTGTGTTAATAGATCCAGTTGCTGATGTCATTCTTGGCAACTTCAAGAATGTGAGAGGTATGTCTGAAAGTGATGTAGTGGCCACTCATACTGGTTCCTGTCTATTGTTAATTTACAGTAAAATTCTGCTATTTGCAGATTTCAACCGTTATGAATAATGTCAGTTTACAGTAAAGTTCCTCTATTTTTACACTTCTACCAACTTAAGTATTGTCACTTTACAGTCTTGTTCTTCTTCACTTTCTCTTTTACCACTTGAGGTGTCGAGGGAGATATAAGGTCCTGATTCTTGTTCTTTCTGTGACCTGTATAAAATGGTTGTTTTTTTTAAACAGTTCCTAGGTTCACAACTGTTTTCTACAAATGGTTTCAAGGGCAAAAGGATGAACTCTTTGAATACTAAGGACACAAATAATTTAACTGTCTTCTGGTACCAAAAATGTTAAAAAAGCAGTATAAACCACTTACTGTTGGCCTTCCACAGTTTGAGCACAATACGACAGTCAACCATCTGTAAGACAGCAGCAATGATGACAGCAGCCAGTGCTGACTTGGGGATGTAGGAGAACCAAGGGGTGAGAACTCCCAGTGACAGAAGCACCAGCCCACCAGTAAATATACCACCCAGGGGTGTCCGCACACCTGTCTGAGAGTTGACTGCAGTTCTGAAGAAGACAACAAACGGCAGGTGATTGAGATATTCAAGTTAGAGGCAACAAGTAAAAGATGTTTTTTCATGCATTTAGGCGTACTGGTCATATAAGGCTAGACCTATTTTTTTTAATAGACCAACTAGATTTAATTGCCCAGCTTTACCTGGGATAGTCAAAGAAAGTCTTTTTCTCCCGTCCTCTACCACATCTTGGTCCCCACCTCTGCCTTATTTGTAGGCCTAGTGGAAATAGGGGTTTAACTAAAACCCTATATTTAAAATCTACTGTTGTTGTATCTTTAGTCATTGCCTCTAACTACATCGAGGCATTGCTGTAATACTAACACCAGTATTCAACAATTTTGGAGATAAATGTATTGTATCAGACACATACAGATATGTGGTTTCAAGGAAGATGACAATGAAATATAATTTGTAAAAGTTACCTTTTCAAGGAAAATAATAGGAAAAATTTTCAAATTGAAATAACTGCAACAAAACTTTACTTTTACTGACTGTTGCAATAAATAAAGCAATGCACAATAACTTAGGCCACCAATGTGAATGATAAATAAAACATTGTAGTCATAATGGCAAATGAAAATTCAACCCATGCACTTGTCACGGTCTGGGAGGAGTTAACAATTAATTTACAATAAACATACAAAATACAGACAGAGTTTGTGACTTGAAGTTTAGACTGGCGCTCAATCGGTGATATATTCAACACCAGGTCAGCCACCTATATTTTCCATGGCTCCTGATAGAGTGACAACGTATCATCACCATAGAGAATGTATTGCAGAGCTACCCTCCCTCTGTGCAAGCCCAGAAACCAGCAGCATTTGCAAGACTGGTACAGGAGCTAAACTTCTAAGAAGAGACATATTAGAATAAGACTAGGTCTTAATTTAGCAGAGCTCATGCAGACTGGTTGTAATGAGGTCTAGGTTGGTAATGCTTCCTCCCAATGTACTGCACGGTCAACAGACTACAACCCATTAAAAGTTAAAATCAAGAGGATCAACTTCATTGCATTGGATTTTATCCCACATGGCTTGACCTCTGCAGAATGGCTGGCACAAACTCCACAGCTCTAGAGATGATTCCCAGGGATGGCAGCCTTAAAACTTCACCCCAGGTCTGAATGATGCAACCATGCAATGAACTCATGACCTTCACTGCAAGAGGCAAATGGCTTGACCAGGTTGCCACAGGGACTCTAACTCAGTTCTCAGGGAGAGTGAGATATGGTGCTAGACTTACATTTTCTTGACCAAACAGAGTTTAGTGGGTGACATGTCAGTATCATGCCAGAAACTGTTATCTACCAGGGTTGTTTCAGGGCTGTATTTGGTCACATGTGCACACTGCTACAGAACCTATCTCTCACTTAGTACATGCAACTATTGAACCTGTTAGGCAATGCTCTGAGTCCGGAGACAATCAGCCTAAACTAATAATTAACACCGAAAACTGACCTACCTGGTGAAGCTCCCAGTGACGGGATATGATGACACAAAGGAGCTGAGAATGTTGGCTACACCTATGGCTATCAGTTCCTGTGTTGGGTCTATTTTATAGTTGTTTATTCGTGCTGAAAAGAAATTCAAGCAGATTTCTACAGCTGCCAGAAATACTTGAAAAACAATGATTTCAAACAAGCTTAATAAAAAACAGTGAATATTTGCAAACAGCGAGCAAATAGAATTATTTGTTATAATTCTTCAAATAATCTTCAAGGCAAAGTGGTCACACTATTTGCCTATCACTCTGAAGGCTGTGGGTTCATTTCATAAACTGCGCTTGGTTCGAGGGTGTAATTTCTTAAGAGATTCCTAAGGATCATTGCATGAGGTTAGGGAGTTTGTGCTTTGTGCAAGGCTCTTGGAAGGCTAGCTGTTTTGCAGAGAGAGAACAAGCCATATGGCTTAAAACCCAGAGCAACGAAGTTATACATCTAAATTCTAACTCAAAAACTTGTATCTACAGTAAAACCTCATCAAGATAATGAAATAAGTCAGGCAAATAGTAATTTGGTTTCTCTTAATGGTACCACTCCAAGATGTGGAGTCGTACACGTATTTAAGCAGTAATGTTGATAAAGATGGCGGAACTGACAGAGATATTAAAATACAAATACAAAAGGCAAGAGGAGCTTTTATAGCACTAGGTAGGAAGTCTGTGGAGGTCAAAAGAAATTAAAACTAACACTAAACTTAACCTGTTTAATTCTAATATCAAATCAGTGCTGTTGTATAGAGCAGAAACATGAAGTACAACTAAGGCAATTACTAATAAACTACAAACATTCATTAACTGAACAGAGGTAGCAGAATAGAGGGAGCAGAACAGAGGGAATTGAATGGTATGATAGAATCACTCATACTGAGCTTCTGGAGAGAACTGAACAAGTTCCAGTGGACCAAGAAGTGAAGAAAAGATGCTGGCATGGGATAGGACACAGGTAGAGAAAAACCCGAGAACAATATAACTAAAATGTCTTTGCACTGAAATCCACAGGGGCACAGAAATTAAGGAAAACCAAAAATCACAGGAAGAAGGTAGCTACAGAGTTAAGTTAAAAATATGGGGAGTACATGGGAAAAGCTGCATGCAATAGTTAAGGATAGAATATCTTGGCGCTAGCTGGTCGAGGGCCTATGCTCCACTAGGGCATAGAAGACAGAAGAAGAAAATCTCATCAACATTAATTCCAAAAGACCCACACACACACACACACACACACACAAGAATCAAATTTGTGCTAACCAGGTTCTAATAAAAATTGATCTTTGCTGGGACCAACATTTTTTCATATTAACAAAGTCTTCCCTTAGAATTTGTATTAATGAAGTTTTGACTACATCAATTTTCTAGACTCAAGTCTAGAAGTCTTGGAGTCTTATTTTGAGACTCCACACTTGCAAGTACTAGTGCACAGTCTTGGTTATGTCACGTCCACATTGTGTAGTGTATTCTTGAGGTCGGGAGCCCTGGCAGTGTAGCTGATAAACACTGCTGGCCTGAATTCTTGAATTTGAATCTACACTGAGTTTTTTCTTGTCTTCTTTTTTTTTTCTCTCCTCCAAAACTGACTTTGATTTCCAGGTTGACCGAGCCTAAAACTGGTTTCCCATAATATCCTGAGAAGTCCCTGTCTGGGTTACAGGTTGGTATTTTGGGGAACAGATCCACTGTCTCCTCAACAAGCATGTTATAAAAGGTGACTGGTCAAGGGTATTTTCTTTGATGTCAGAGTGCATCAGCTGGACAGGCGAGGAACCAACTGTCTGCATTTATGAATAAGGTAGATCAGTAAAACAGAATATGCATGCAAAACTCCTTTTCTGGAATAAGACCAAAGTACAGCAGTGGATGAACAACCATAACTTTCTGCCAGTTTACCGCCAGAGAAAGCAAAGAAGAAGAAGAGATTGTCTATTAATAAATTCGTTGATCATTTTCTGGTCTTTCATTCCCTCAAAAGTCCAAGCCGAATTATTTAAATATGTGATTTTACAAAATCTTGTTTTTATCATGTCATAATTTAGCGGTGTCTACAGATATTGCTGCAGCTTCTACCACAGCTATGACAAAGCCATTCTATGAAAGCTAGTTGTGTATCCTTTACAGGACATTGCAGAACCACCCCAACATTTTTTGGCTGTTGTGGTTTTTTTCTAGGCAAAATTACGTTCAGTAGTTTGCCATTGCTTTCTGGATGTTCGGCTTCTCAAAACCACTGTTGAAACCAACACAAGGTGCAGGGCCTGCAGTTAGGATCAAACCCTGCACCCCAGCATTACAAAGTGCATTCGCAACGCCTAAGCTACAGAGGCCGACTCTCTTTGAAGCTAGTCTATAATAAAACCACTCAACCTGAAGAAAAAAGAGCAGTACAAACTGTTCAATCCGGGCACTCACCGAAAGCTTTCCCAATGGCCATGGTTTCCACAAGTGATAACAGAGGAACAATTGCCAACCCAGATCCAATTTTCTGTTGAAAAAAAAGGTGGCAAGTCTCAACAAATATGGCTGGGCAAAATTAAACTGTAAAACATGAATACTGAACTTGGACATGTAATAACTCCTCTAGGAAAAAAACACAGATGCACATTTGAATATATACAAAGTGAAAGTGAAAGGCCCCTTTCCCCAACAGTGGCGCATTGAGCACATGATGCTGGACTCATATTTCTGATAGACTAATTAATCAGTACAAATGACATAGTCAACAACATGATGACCCCTTTACTTCCCAGGATATACCCGCTACCCATTTCAGGAAAGTTGACCTGACAGCCAAGGTTATTCTGTTTGAAGAAAAAATTGAACACCATACAGATTTTAACCCAAGATCTTCAGGCTGGCAGATAAGGGTCTAGCCGTCATGCCATCATGGCTCCATGCTTTTGAATACAAATGACATTAACACAAACTGCAAGGGAAAGAGAACATTTCTAACCTGATCAAGAACTGAGCATAAAAGAAGTTTTGAAACTCTGACCAATACAATGAAAGAAAAATACTCAGGAAGCAAACAGTCTGGAAAAGATATTACTGTGGGCAAGTATTTCACAGAAGGAGTCAAGAAGAAGATATCAACAGATTCCAGATGTGATAGATGGTGTACATAGGACAGCAACAGAGTTAGTATGGAAGATCAGACAGAGACAGAAAGAGATTTAAACAGACTTTCATGGAGGGCAAAGAAGGATATGCGTGTGCTTGTGTGAGAGACAGAGAGAGAAAGAGAGAGAGAGAGCGAAAGAGAGATGGGTACTATTTCTGAACTGGACAAGCTCCTAAAAACATGCACACACGCGCGTGCACACACACACAGAAGTAAATCTACTAAGTATCAAATGTAACTGTCGTAAACATCATCATCAAATGCTGTACAAACTGGCATGAGGTGATAATGTTTCCCTATTCTGCAATCTTCAACAGAATATATCAACTCATGAGCTGAAAATTGTGCATGCCAGGCTGTAAGATATTCCAGAATCTCCTCTCACTGTCTTCCTCTGTCTTCTTTTCCATTAATTTTTCTAGCACTTACAATATGTTTCTGCTTCTTTTCTACTCCTAATGTGGCCATAAAACGTCAAATCTACCCAAAATATTCACTCCCTTTCTGATGTTTTTGTATTTTAATCTGTTTCAAAAAATGTATATATAATTTTGGTTGCCATGGCAATGCAGTCAAGCAGTTAACCTTGCGCTCTAAAGATTATGGGTTCATTTCACAGGTGCGTCTTTCAGATCACAAGTGCAGTTTTTAAGAGATTTTTAAGGATTGTCACTGGAGTTACCAGGTCTGTGCTTCAAGCAGTGCTCTTATCAGGAGATTAGCCATTCTTCAGACAGGGATGGAGGCATACAGGATAAGCTGGTGAGGTGAATCATGTTGACCTAAATTGAACAGCACTATTATTAACAATGTACAACAGCAATTTGTGGGCTTTCACCCTTCAGCCCAATGACACATGCAAGTATCCATCAGCTGCTGTCATAACTCCTGTGGAAGGCCACGGGGCATACTTGCTAGATGCTTACTGTTGACCCAAACTGTTTTAGGTTCAAATCCAACCCCCCCCCACCCCCCCCCCCAAAAAGATTTGACCATAACTTGCAGGTAGACCCACCCTAAAATGGGTGCCAGGTGATGTCCTGGGAAGTAAAGGCAGCTGAGTTCCTATTGGGCTATAGAAATTAATCTAGCATCCCGTGCCCAATAGGCAGCTGCAATGAAAAAATCTCCTTTATTTTGTTTCTGACTGACTCCTGCCCAGTTTCATGGAGAAACATCGGTCTGAGATTTGACTGAACATATGGGACCAGCAGTCATGGGCACACATGATGGCGGCCAACACCACAGAAGTATATTTTCTCATCAGAGCTGGACTTTTATTCAAAGATGACCTTGGCTCCCAGGTGGACCCAGCCTTGAGTGGGTACCGGGTACAGTCCCAGGAAGTAGAGGCGGCCTGCGTGATGCTGACCACATCACCCATCTTGTGCCATTGGTCTATAAAATATAGGTCTAGCCCTATATGCCCTATACACCTGAAGGCGTGGAAAAGGGTCCCATAATTTTTTTTTTTACCTATATTTTCTTACACTATACATAATGAGTTAATTTATGCTCAAAAAAAGCACATACACTAACATACAAAACCTGTTCACGGAAAACATACCAAGCTCTGGCAAAACAATTCAGACATCAGCAAACTACACGTACTCACAGACAAAATCTCTGACCCATATACTGTATTATTGCCATCTTCAATCTTGAACTTGGGAGGTTCAAACGGTGGCAGACCCGGCTTGATGTCACCAGTCAGACTTATAGCATCTGTAATTCCTTGTGTTTCCAGAGCAGCTGCCACTCCTGCTGCAGCTATCACTACTATGGCATTACCTCCTGCGTATCAAGGTCAAACATATATTTACAAGAATGATGGTTACTGTCCTTCCCTTAGGACAGTCAATATAAAGACAAAAACTTGTTCATATATCCACAATGCTGTCTACTGACTCCGCACTGAGAGAGAGAGAGAGAGAGAGAGAGAGAGAGAGAGAGAGAGAGAGAGAGAGAGAGAGAGAGAGAGAGAGAGAGAGAGAGAGAGAGAGAAAGAGAGAGAGAGAGAACAAATGAACAAACAAACTTTGTTTTCAACGGGTTACAAACTGGACCAGCAGGTCCATCTTGCAGTGGGCCCTTTCAAGCATTCCTCTTTCACACAGAAATTGTATGTTATATATATATCAGCATATTATGTTTTTATATCAAAATTCATAGTATAAATGTAGAAGTAAAAATATAAAAAACATGAATGACAAAAGCAGAAACAAAAGAGAGAGAAAGAGAGAGAGAGAGAGAGAGAGAGAGAGAGAGAGAGAGAGAGAGAGAGAGAGAGAGAGAGAGAGAGAGAGAGAGAGAGGAGAGAGAGAGAGAGAGAGAGAGAGAGAGAGAGAGAGAGAGAGAGAGACAGACAGACAGACAGACAGACAGACAGACAGACAGACAGACAGACAGACAGACAGACAGACAGACAGACAGACAGACAGACAGACAGACAGACAGACAGACAGACAGAGCAGCAGCTGCAGAACATACTACTCTATCTGTTGAGATGATTCAGCAAACAGTGAAAGAAGGTTTAGACAGCACTCAACCAACAGAGCAAAAGACAGGCAGAATTATTCAGGTTGCCACAGATATCACAAACATGTAAAGGGGAAGAATATGTGTGGGAATGTCTGCAGCACAATGATGTCAACTGCTGACTGATTCCTTCGTTCAGCAAAAAGAAAGAAGAGAAAGAACTATAATGGAAAGAAGAGTAGGAGGGAGACAACAACAAAGATAATAACATGAAGATAATTAAGATGATGATTATAACAGAAGAGGAGGGAGAGACTGAGACTGAATAAGTTAATACAAGTGTAGGGAAGTCCTGACCTGTCCCAACAAGCCAGATGATTTTTCTGCAAATAATAACAGTAACAGATGGTGTGACGTCAGGATCATCATTCCACCGCTTAGTTCTCAGATGTTTCATCACGAGGACAATCACCAGTGAGACCAGTCCCATTGTCAGGTCCCAGACCCTGCAACAGTTATCAACAAAGTCCTACTTCTGTGGTCTAACTCTTTCAGTCCCATGGGGTTTAGCATCAGATGCCCAGGGTGGTTAGCACCAGATGCCGGGGGTTTTAGCCTCAGATGTCCAAGGGTTTTAGCATCAGATGTCCAAGGTTTTTAGCCTCAGATGTCCAAGGGTTTTAGCCTCAGATGTCTAAGGGTTTTAGCACCAGATGTCCAAGGGTTTTAGCATCAGATGTCCAAGGGTTTTAGCACCTGATGCCTAAGGGTTTTAGCAACAGATGCCCAAGGGTTTTAGCCCCAGATGTACAAGGGTTTTAGCCTTATATGCCCTAGGGGTTTAGCACCAGATGCCCAAGGGTTTTAGCACCTGATGGCTAAGGGTTTTAGCAACAGATGCCCGAGGGTTTTAGCCCCAGATGTCCAAGGGTTTTAGCCTTAGATGCCCTAGGGGTTTAGCACCAGATGCCAAAAGGGTTTTAGCCTCAGATGCCCAAGGTTTTAGCACCAGAAGTCCAAGGGATTACGCATCAGATGCCCAGGGGTTAGCATCAGATGCCCAAGGGTTTTAGCCTCAGATGCCAATTGGTTTAGCTTCAGATTTCCAGGGGGATTAGCATCAGAGACCCAAGTGATGGTTAAGAGAAACATAAAATCAGGGCATCTTGTGTTCACTGGGCTTCAACACCACACTGGCCACCTTTACTGTCAAGGCACAAGCAAAAAAGTTGGAATTTAGACATCAATAGTATTTTATTTTAGTAGATGATGATGAACTCATTAATGCATGCATGTAAAGACTTAAATGGAAACATTGATAAAGAAATTAACATCTGATGCAGCAAAAAAGAGACCAAGTACCAGGACAGCCAGCCCTCCCCTACAACATGAGATAATTCGATCAGTACAAATAAATATCTCGTACAAAGAATACTAACTCTCATCTGTCAGAGAGCTAATCGCCTTAATGGCAACGGCTCGTTGGCAGCTCCATGACAGAAGTGTCTATGTCAAACACATCTAACCCAACACCATCAGAGCATTCACACCAGCCTTCGAGGTAAATGACAACAAGCACTGGCCAGTTTGTCCTAGAGATGGTCCATGTTACTAACCCCGCCACACACCTGCCAGGCTGCTTTACAATCGCCACCCACGCACTGGCCTTATGGGTGCTAACCAGGTCTGAACCAACAGTCTCCGATACAAGCTCTTTTCTGAACCCTCAGGACTTACACTTCAATTGCTGTCGCTCCGCATGGCTCTGGACAGTGTGGTCAGACAGACCGTATCATGAGCTGAGTCACCTGAATACAGTGCCCACAACATCACCATGTTCTTATTCTTACACGGACAAAGCCCCCTTTTCAAACCACCTCACTAATATACAGATCACTAACTGGGTTAACAGTGCTACAACCAACTAACAATAATCACTACAGAACACCAAGTTAAATAACTTATTCCTAACCACATAAATTATAACACCGTCCCACCGGCACTAAACATTTCATAAACCGTCGCTATGTTTCTGTATGCAAACAACTAAGAAAACTCTCATCGACAAAAACAGGTCTTTGTCACAATTCACGTCTCTGAGCCAACTACCCGAAAACCCTTCACCATGTCCATTTTGTCCGGTCCACCATTCACCTTATGGTCAGTCAAGTCCCCCAGTGAATCCTGGAGTCTTTACTTATCCATCACGATGTCCTTATCAGAAACTCCTGTGAGCTGTTGAACATGTGGTTGCTAAGTGATGATCTAAGTGCTAGTCCGTCATTCCCTATGATCACTTACAGTGACTGAGAAAGGCTGCAGGAGGTACCAGGAGAGATAAAATCTGTCATAAGAGAAAAAGTTGTCACAGAACCAGTTCTAAACTGCACACAAAGACTGCAACAAAAATGAACTGCCCACTCAGAGAGAATGTCTTACATCCCCATACTTTACAAGGAGGAGAAGGAGGCCAAAGAGGAGAGGGACTAAAGCAAGGGGTAGACCAAGAACAAGCAAGGGGTATACCAAGAACAAAGTGAAAAGATATCAAGAGAAACTCTAAAACAGCCCCATGTGTCTATGATTAAGATATCCAGAAGAGTAAGAACCAGAACCTTATATCTTCCTCTACATTATATCTTCCTCTACATTATATCTTTCTCTACATTATATCTTTCTCTACATTATATCTTCCTCTACATTATATCTTTCTCTACATTATATCTTTCTCTACATTATATATTTCTCTACATTATATCTTCCTCTACATTATATCTTCCTCTACATTATATCTTCCTCTACGTTATATCTTCCTCTACGTTATATCTTCCTCAACGTTATATCTTTCTCTACATTATATCTTCCTCTACATTATATCTTCCTCTACGTTATATCTTCCTCTACGTTATATCTTCCTCTACGTTATATCTTCCTCTACGTTATATCTTTCTCTACGTTATATCTTTCTCTACGTTATATCTTCCTCTACGTTATATCTTCCTCTACGTTATATCTTCCTCTACGTTATATCTTCCTCTACGTTATATCTTCCTCTACGTTATATCTTCCTCTACGTTATATCTTCCTCTACGTTATATCTTCCTCTACGTTATAGCTTCCTCTACGTTATAGCTTCCTCTACGTTATAGCTTCCTCTACGTTATATCTTCCTCTACGTTATATCTTCCTCTACGTTATATCTTCCTCTACGTTATATCTTCCTCTACGTTATATCTTCCTCTACGTTATATCTTCCTCTACGTTATATCTTCCTCTACGTTATATCTTCCTCTACGTTATATCTTCCTCTACGTTATATCTTCCTCTACGTTATATCTTCCTCTACGTTATATCTTCCTCTACGTTATATCTTCCTCTACGTTATATCTTTCTCTACGTTATATCTTCCTCTACGTTATATCTTCCTCTACGTTATATCTTTCTCTACGTTATATCTTTCTCTACGTTATATCTTTCTCTACGTTATATCTTACTCTACGTTATATCTTACTCTACATTATATCTTACTCTACATTATATCTTACTCTACATTATATCTTACTCTACATTATATCTTACTCTACATTATATCTTTCTCTACATTATATCTTTCTCTACATTATATCTTTCTCTACATTATATCTTTCTCTTCATTAAATCTTCCTCTACATTATATCTTCCTCTACAGTATATCTTTCTCTACAGTATATCTTCCTCTACATTATATCTTCCTCTACATTATATCTTTCTCTACAGTATATCTTCCTCTACATTATATCTTTCTCTACATTATATCTTCCTCTACATTATATCTTCCTCTACATTATATCTTCCTCAACATTATATCTTTCTCTACATTATATCTTCCTCTACATTATATCTTCCTCTACATTATATCTTTCTCTACATTATATCTTCCTCTACATTATATCTTTCTCTACATTATATTATATCTTCTCTACATTATATCTTTCTCTACATTATATCTTTCTCTACATTATATCTTCCTCTACATTATATCTTCCTCTACATTATATCTTCCTCTACATTATATCTTCCTCTACATTATATCTTTCTCTACATTATATCTTTCTCTACATTATATCTTTCTCTACATTATATCTTTCTCTACATTATATCTTTCTCTACATTATATCTTTCTCTACATTATATCTTTCTCTACATTATATCTTCCTCTACATTATATCTTCCTCTACATTATATCTTTCTCTACATTATATCTTTCTCTACATTATATCTTTCTCTACATTATATCTTTCTCTACATTATATCTTTCTCTACATTATATCTTCCTCTACATTATATCTTTCTCTACAGTATATCTTCCTCTACATTATATTTTCCTCTACATTATATCTTCCTCTAGATTATGTTTTTCTCTACATCATGTCTTTCTCTACATCATATCTTTCTCTACATTATATCTTCCTCTACATTATATCTTTCTCTACATTATATCTTTCTCTACATTATATCTTTCTCTACATTATATCTTCCTCTACAGTATATCTTCCTCTACATTATATCTTTCTCTACATTATATCTTTCTCTACATTATATCTTCCTCTACATTATATCTTCCTCTACATTATATCTTTCTCTACATTATATCTTCCTCTACATTATATCTTTCTCTACATTATATCTTCCTCTACATTATATCTTTCTCTACATTATATCTTCCTCTACATTATATCTTCCTCTACATTATATCTTTCTCTACATTATATCTTTCCCTACATTATATCTTTCTCTACATTATATCTTCCTCTAAATTATATCTTCCTCTAAATTATATCTTTCTCTACATTATATCTTCCTCTACATTATATCTTTCTCTACATTATATCTTCCTCTACATTATATCTTTCTCTACATTATATCTTCCTCTACATTATATCTTCCTCTACATTATATCTTCCTCTACATTATATCTTTCTCTACGTTATATCTTTCTCTACGTTATATCTTCCTCTACGTTATATCTTCCTCTACGTTATATCTTCCTCTACGTTATATCTTCCTCTACGTTATATCTTTCTCTACATTATATCTTTCTCTACATTATATCTTCCTCTACGTTATATCTTTCTCTACGTTATATCTTTCTCTACATTATATCTTCCTCTACATTATATCTTCCTCTACATTATATCTTTCTCTACATTATATCTTCCTCTACATTATATCTTCCTCTACATTATATCTTCCTCTACATTATATCTTCCTCTACATTATATCTTTCTCTACATTATATCTTTCTCTACATTATATCTTTCTCTACATTATATCTTACTCTACATTATATCTTTCTCTACAGTATATCTTCCTCTACATTATATCTTTCTCTACATTATATCTTTCTCTACATTATATCTTTCTCTACATTATATCTTACTCTACATTATATCTTTCTCTACAGTATATCTTCCTCTACATTATATCTTTCTCTACATTATATCTTCCTCTACATTATATCTTTCTCTACATTATATCTTCCTCTACATTATATCTTCCTCTACATTATATCTTCCTCTACATTATATCTTCCTCTCACTCAAAGTGGCACAAGAAAAAGTGAAGAAGAAGGAAAAAAACTTTAAAAAAAAACCAAACAAAAACAAGGACAGGGTTCACACCCCCCAAGACCCTGGGAAACCAGGAAGAAGCATGGACACAGCTGATATCGTCAAAGCTCTATGGACTAGGCTGGGGAAGAATGATGAATTGATGACGTTAACATGACCATCTGACCTGGGAGTAAAGCTTGGTGAAGCATGTCTATGCCATCTTCAAGGTCAACATAGGAGACACTATACACCAGCTTCTCATGGGAACAATAAGCAGAGGTACCTTGGAGTGGCTGCTGCATCAGAGGACTGGGAAAGTCCACTGTGCAGTGACATTGACTATGATAACATAAGATAGCAAAGAACAGAAGCTGCTAAATCCACACATGGTTTTAAAGGTGAAAAGAGGGCTGTGTGGTCTAGAGGCATCGTGTCCGCCTCGAGTGTTAGAGGTGCCGGGTTCAATCCCCGGTGAGGGCTGGGACTTTTTCGCATGGACAGAATTCTAGTAATTCCCTTTGGTCTCTGAGTAGTGAGATCGGACACCCGTGTGCATTGTTTCACACGTAAAAAAATCCCTTGGCAATTGGAAATAAAAAAGAGTAGCCTAAAAAGCACCTCTACCCAAAGTATTTCAGGATCCTCGACGGTGCTACAGAGCTTGTGCACTGTGCTGAGCTTCTTCGGACTCTACCTGAGTTAGAAGAAGAACGGAACACTTATGGGTTACTACCTGTGTGCCATGATGTTAATCCGTTGTTCAAACCTTAAAAGTGAAAAGATCAATTTTACTCTACTGCAATTTTTCCAACAAGGTAGCCTCTACCCCCAGAGCAGCAGTCTGTCTGCTGACAGTATCTTACTATACAGAAGACAATATTCACATACAGACCATAATAGCCACCAAGTGAAGTCTGGTCAAGAAAGTATGGGTACATCACCATATCTATAAAGATGTAGAAACACAGCCTTTATCTTGTAAATGTGCCAGTATGTGCACCTAAGACCTCAGATGTGTAACTAACATATGTCTCACCTGGTTTCTGGTATTTTAGTCAGTGTGTCGTAGACCATGGGAATAAAGTCACTGGAAACCTTCTTCAGACCAAGAACATTCTAAAACAGAATAGAAACAATGAGAGAGCTGATGTCAGTTTTGGTGAGACTGGATGACTGCTGCTGCTGCTTTATAGCCTGGTTTAGTTTATCCTCTTCTATTATATGTACCTGACAGTCTAGTTTAGTCTTTGCCCCTCTAATGTATGGAGTAGAGGTATCTCAAAGTCTAGTTTAGCCTTTCCTTTTCTACTGTAAGGTACAGGTACCTTAGCTAGTTTAGTTTTTACTCTCCTTCTGTAGGATGTATAGGTACCTTCGTCTAGTTTAGTCTTTTCTCTCCTACTGTAGAGTGTACAGGTATCTTAAGTATAGTTTAGTCTTTCCTCACCTACTGTAGTGTTTACAGGCATCTTACATTCTAGTTTAGTCTCTCCTCTCCTACTGTAGGGTGTACAGCTACCTTACAGTCTAGTTTAGTCTTTCCTTTGCTGTTTGGAGAGGTACCTTACAGTCTAATGTAGTGTTTCCTCTTCTGTTGTAGAGTGGAGAGGTATCCTATAGTATAATGCAGTGTTTCATTTGCTGCTAAAGAGTGGACAGGTACCTTACAGTATAATGTAGTGTTTCCTCTGCTGTTGTAGAGTGAAGAGGTACCTTGAAGTGTAATGCAGTGTTTTTTCTGCTGTTGTAGAGTGGAGAGATTACCTTACAGTCTAGTTTACTCTTTCCTCTTCTATTGTAGCATGGAGAGGTACTCAAGTTTAGTCTAGTGTTTCCTCTTCTGTTGTAGAGCAGAGAGGTACCTTAGGCTAATGTAGTGTTTCCTTAGCTATTGTAGAGTGGCAAGTAACCTTACAGTCTATTGTAGTGTTTCCTCAGCTGTGGTAGAACAGAGAGGTACCTTAGGCTAATGTAGTGTTTCCTTAGCTATTGTAGAGTGGAGAAGTACTTTAATCTACTGTAGTGTCTCACCTTCTATTGTAGAGTGGCAAGAAACCTTACAGTCTATTGTAGTGTTTCCTCAGCTGTGGTAGAGTGAAGAGGTACCTTACAGTCTAATGTAGTGTTTCACTTTCTATTGTAGAGTATAGTGTAGTGTTTTTGCTTCATCCTGGCATGCAGACACAAGAAGAGGTAACTAATGGTCTTATTTAGTCTTTTCTCTTCTAGCCTGTGGCATTAAGGTATTTTACAGTCTTCTTAATTTAAAGACTGCTCACTTCTATGATGCGGTGTAGGGATAAATGGGGATCAAACTTTAAGCATGTTCAGGAATGGCTGGCAACATTTTTGTGCCACCACAAATATGCCTTGTGACACCATACCATACAAAGCATACATGGAAAGGGAAGAAGGACGTAGAGCACGAGGTAGACCAAGAACAAGATGGAAGGATAACATCAGAGAAACTCTACAACAGCACGATGTGCCTATGGTCGAGGCGGCCAGAAGAGGAAGTGAAGAAGAAGAAGAAGACAAATATGCTCTATTATTAGTTTTCAAAATAAAATAACATTTTTAAAAAATCTGAATCTAAGGATAATCCCTAACAACAACATTATATTAAAGAATGATCACAAATGTACTCACTTTGACCTGTCCCGCAGCTACTGTTATTGCAGCTGCTGAAGTAAAGGCGTTGATGACAGGGTATGAGATGAAGTTGACCAGGATACCTAGTGAAACATCAAAGATTGGTTTAGCAATGAGTCATCAAAAATTAGTCAGACAATAAAATACACAACATTAACCTGACAATGAAACAAAAAATATGAAACAGACAATAAAACACACAAATTAACCTGGCAATGAAACATCAAATACGAGACACACAACATTAACCTGACAATGAAACAAAAAATATGAAACAGACAATAAACATGCAACATTAACCTGGCAATGAAACATCAAATATTAGACAGACAATAAAACACACAACATTAATCTGTCTGATGTTAATCTTAATCATCAATTAGTCTGACAATGAAACATTCAACATCTATAACAGAAAACATGCAGAGTAAGCCAATACAGCCAAGGCGCTAACATTATTTAAAACATGAACCAGCTTTGAAGTCCTCTGAAGAAATGTCAAGGTTTTCACTGCAACTTTCATACCTCTTAGACATACTGGTTCTCATACTGTTGAAGCTATTTACCCACTCATTTTCTGAACAAAGTTCTATCCCACACATTCTAGATGATCTCTCTAATCTTCTTGTGAGTCCTTAGATTTCTGCTGCTGTGTCTACTATACAATCATTTATAATAACACTGTCATAAACAGGTTTCTCCCTGTGGGTGTTCAAGGGCCCTATTGTGGAAAAACAAGAATAGACCTACTGCCTACCCAAAATCATGTCGTAAGAGTCGACTAGCTGGGAGCTTCCTTCGAAGTTGGATTGCATCTGCCTGAGAGGCAAGGAACCAGCAGTCTGCAAACAAATGAGTCAAATCTGTAAAACGGATGCAAACACAACACTCAGGTTCTGGAACACGACTGCAGTCCAGAAGTGGATGAACAACCAGAACTTTTTGCCAGAGTTTCCAGCTGGTGAACGCGAAGGATAAGAAGAAGAAGAATAAACAGGTTTCTGGTCTGTAGCAGGAATTGGCAATAGCAGCTCTCTGGTAATGAAGTATGTTGTTTAATCCATCACGAGTGACAAAGACCACTTATCTCCAAAGAAGCATGGATCAATGGTTATGAGTATGAAGGTGGCTGATTAGTTTAATATGTGCCTAGAAAGTTTGTGAGCAGCACAGAAAACAGGTAGAAGCCGCAATAAGTTTAGGATTAGCGACACGGTTCTTTCTAGACTACCTTCTATTTCCATGCCTATGCAACCTCTGCTGCCTGGCAGGCTGATGCACCATGCCTGAGGGACTGAGGGATGTACACCATCCAGACCAGAACAGTCCTGTGGAGCAGCCTTCCACATCGCTGTGTTGATGCCAAATGAACTGAGAGCAGTTTTGAGAGTGTCCTCATAGCGCTTTTTTTTTCTGACCTTCCTGGGACCTCTTCCCTTGCTGGAGTCTGCCATAAAATATTCTCTCTGGGAGGCAATAGTCTGGCATGCGGGCTAGGTGACCAGCCCAACAGAGCTGATATTTCTTCAGTATTGTGTGGATGCTTGGCAGGTTTGCCTTGCCTGTCAAAAACTGTTTGGGATCTTATTTTGCCATTTAATTTTTAGCAGCTTTATGAGACAATTTATATAAAACTGATTCAACTTTTTAGAATTATGCTGATGCACCGTCCACGTTTTGCAAGCGCAGAGTAGTACTGGAAGAATTACAGCTTTGTAAACCTTCAGCTTAGTCAGAAGGGAGATACCAATTCTATTTATGATGCTGATATAAAGTCTGCCAAAACTGTTGCTGGCATTTGAGATTCTAGCGCTGATCTCATCGTCGATGTTGACTCTCTGAGATAGGGTACTGCCAAGGTAAGTGAATATATTGACTATATTTAACCTTTGTTCATTTGCAATAATATTTTTTTTTTCTGTTAGCCGGCTGATAAATAAAAACAATTTTATCAGTGTTGATAGTTAGCCCAAAGTTGGTACAGGCTTCAGAAAATCTATTGATGATGTGCTGCATACTGGCCTCAGAGCTGGAATTTAGAGCTCAGTAATCAGCAAAAAAAATTGTAATTGTTTTGGATTTTGTTTTAGCTCGAAGCCTCCTCAAATTAAACAAATTGCCATCTGTACAGTAATTTAAAGCAACTCCTGGATCGTCATTATCAAAGGCATTGACAAGCATTGCAGCAAATGTCATACTGAACAAGGTTGGTTAAGTACACAACCATGCTTTAGGCCATTTGAGACAGGGAAAGGGTCCGACAGTTTTCCCTTTTCCAGCACTCTGGCCTGCACACCTTCATGGAACTGATGTACAATCCTGATACACTTCTGAGGACAGCGGTAACCAGGTAAGCATGTAATGGCAGTTCCAACTCAATTGCAAATGGGCCACTCCATAGTTGCTCTGTACCTGTACCAATGAAAACCAGACAGAATATCCACCACTATCCCATGTGAAAAAACTGACAAAGGTTGCAGTCTCAGCAAAACCAATAGCACGCACCAGCATTAAATGCATAAGGCAACTTTCAGAAGAACCAATAAAAACAGTCTGGTATTATAAAGCAGTTCACTATCGACAGAAGCAGCAGTTATAACAAATCAGTAGTTGCACATGCAGCTAACTGCATAAAGCATCACTAGTTCTCTGGAAACAAGCCAGACTCACCATTTTTTAAAATCTGCAGTTCACAAAAACAAACCATGTTGGACTTGGCCAAACAGCATTACAAATGAAATCTGCGGCTCACAGTGCAGCGCTATGCACTCAACTCAGTAGCTGGACAAGACAGAACTATATCCTTTCAGTATACATATGGAGGAAAACGCAACAGCTAACAAATACCAGAAGCTAAAACATGCCACAACTAAAAACAGTAAGCACGCCTTTCTGTCATACTGATCAGAAGCTAATAGTCTCTATTTCTGTCATCTGCTATATTTAGTCAATTACTCGTAGCAGCAAAAATTAATGGATCATTTTCCCACCTCCGGCCACTTGATTTTTCAGGACTTTCCTTGGTACCCATTTAGGCTGGATCGGCCATAAAAGTTTCCCTCACATTTTTTCTGTTGTTTTTGTGTCTTATCAATAGGCAAATATTTTTTTTTGTTTTTTGTTTTTAGTCTTTAATATTTTGAACATTATTTTCAAAAAGACACATCTTTCATTCCTTTATTTTTTACATAATTTGATCACTATTTGCATCCATACAGAAAGATAAGCTACGTACCACTTTGTTCGGCTCATAATAATGTTAATAATGCAGAGATTAGTTACTTATGGAACGTCATGATTTTGAACCAAAAAAATGAGATGAAAATCATGGAAACATGTAGCTTTCCTGTAGCAATATACAAATATGAGTCATGTTACAATTTTGCAATCACTGAAGAGTAAAATCAATGTTTCAGAAATATTCTTAGAAAATCATGCACCAAGAAGAGGAACAATGACTGACATTCTTCAGGATGTGAAGAAAGAGAGGACTTCTGCAATATTAAACAGGATTAGATAGAAAAGTAATAGAAGAAATGGTTACAGGAAGAAGAAGCAGATGTCGACCAGTATGACAGAGAGTACAAGATATCCAGGACACCCCAGGCAATATAGTTCACAAGGAAGGACAACTGGCATTAGACAAAATGGTTTTCCACCCCGTGGTGAGGACAAATAACACTGCACAGGACCTGCTAAAAAATTAATCATTGTAAAACCTGGAAGCCAAAACAAAAATGTATCCTACCCAGCTTCAAGATGCCCATACTGAGCTGGATAATCCCTGACATGAACGTCAGCAGAATGGCCATAGTTATGTCTTTGTCCTTAGAGGCCAGTTCCGGGAACAGGCCAGTTCCAAAGGTTGCTGTCAGGAGAGACATGATGGCAGTAGGTCCCAGCGTGATGTCCTTGGATGTGCCCAGGAAACAGTAGACGAAGCAGCCCATGAAGGCAGAGTACAAACCATACTGCAGAGAAAATGCTAAGAACAACAGGAAGACAAAGCAGTGCTTCACTCACCCAAGTACATGTTCTAGATGGTGATATTTCTACAGTATAATCTCTCGGCCACATCTCACTTCCCTAAAAACATGTTCTAGATGGTGATATTTCTACAGTATAATCTCTCGGCCACATCTCACTCCCCTAAGTACATGTTCTGGATGGTGATATTTCTACAGTATAATCTCTCAGCCACATCTCACTCACCTAAGTACATGTTCTAGATGGTGATGTTTCTACAGTATAATCTCTCGGCCACATCTCACTCCCCTAAGTACATGTTCTAGATGGTGATATTTCTACAGTATAATCTCTCAGCCACATCTCACTCACCTAAGTACATGTTCTAGATGGTGATGTTTCTACAGTATAATCTCTCGGCCACATCTCACTCCCCTAAGTACATGTTCTAGATGGTGATATTTCTACAGTATAATCTCTCGGACACATCTCACTCCCCTAAGTACATGTTCTAGATGGTGATATTTGTACAGTATAATCTCTCAGCCACATCTCACTCACCTAAGTACATGTTCTAGATGGTGATATTTCTACATTATAATCTCTCAGCCACATCTCACTCACCTAAGTACATGTTCTAGATGGTGATATTTCTACATTATAATCTCTCAGCCACATCTCAATCACCTAAGTACATGTTCTGGATGGTGATATTTCTACAGTATAATCTCTCAGCCACATCTCACTGCCCTAAGTACATGTTCTGGATGGTGATATTTCTACAGTATAATCTCTCGGCCACATCTCACTCACCTAAGTACATGTTCTAGATGGTGATATTTCTACAGTATAATCTTTCAGCCACATAGAATATTAAAGCACTAGATACAAACAGAGACAATAAAATAACAGCAACACAATACTGATCTGATCTCAACTTATAGGTTATGTAAACTAAGATAATAACTCTTATTAACTATCAGTCTAGTTGACTTGACAGCCATAATGAGAAACAACTGACGCCACTGCTGAGAACTGAACCAGTACAACTGTCTTGGAAAGCTAGTGCTCTAGCCATTCTGTCATAGGAGCTTTTTAAGAAATCTAGCAAATCATTAATCCTTTCGCCCCAGGAACACTAAAAATAAAAATGGCCATGAACCTGTGAGAACTCCCCAAAAATGATATCACAAAAAATGTTTCTTTGAAAAACATATCACTAAAAAAAATTTGTAAAACGTTATTTATCTATATTTTTTCTCTCTAAAACATATAAAAATATACACACACACTTACATTTATATATAGGTAGTAATGAAAAGACATCAACAGATTAAAGGCATTAAAATAAATACATTCACCTGTGCTTAAAAAAATATATCAGCTGACTTATGCAGTGACCCCATGACCTCTATTATCCCTAAAGCTGCAGGGAAACTGTGATGTCAACGTGGCTTTAAACCCCCCCCCCCCCCTATTTTGTTAGCCAGGAAAATGGCGCAACTAAACCAGACCCTAAATATAACTGGAGGCTGTTGGTGGATCGCTGCCAACAGCAGGTTGAACATGTTTTTTTTTTTTAAGAACAGAATCCGTGCTATTTTGAATAAATATTTTCATGTCCAATTCACCTAAAAGCTGCGCAGGTGCAAACAGACCCAACCAAACTAACTCTGCTTCTTGGACACAGGTCACTAGAGACACGCCAATTCTGCAGCCTTCATGGAGACCTAGCAACAATGGAAATGCTGGGTTCGCAGCTTCTTCAGGCAACAGGGTTAACACAAGGAGACAAGAGTATGACCATTACCCTTGAATACTGAAGAACTAGACACATTTCAGCGAGTGAAGAGCTGAAGAAAGCTGCTGTTGAACAGGACACACATTGTTATTAACACAACTAGAAAATCCTGTCACTGGAAGGACAATGCAATTAATAATAGAGGCAAAGACAAATAAAAACAGACAACAAATACATTAAGAAGACAAGCTGAAACAGATATGGGTAAGATGAGCCGGATATTGAAAGAATAAGAAATGTCAAAGGATAGCAAAAATGACATGTCTTAGATGGAAGGTCCATGCTTGAAACGGGATAACAAGCATAAATAAAAAAAAAATGCATATACATGGGGACCACAGTCACACCAAGGACAGGAAGCTTTGGTTGCTTTCACAGTTTCCCTACATCATACTGGAAGGTTCAATTCTCAGCTGTACAGATACTTCAGACAGTCTGAGTATACAACATGCTGGAAGAGGGTAAGACAAGAGACAGATTTATTCTACAGAGGCATACCTGTGGAGGCAGATTAGCAACCTGGGCATATGCCAGGCCTTGGGGGATAACTGTTAGTCCAACTGTCAGGCCAGCAATCAAGTCAGCTTGTAGAGTGCCACATCTGGAAACAAAACCATATCACAACAATTACATAAGTGATTGAGATAACACTTACATCCACTATGAAGAAGCTTGTATTGGTATCGTAATCTATTTAATGTTACTGTTAGATTCTAGGATATTGTTGTGTTACAGTGCTTGTGTTGTAGTTCTTATGTTGTAATTCTTGTGCTGTGTTACAGTATTTGTGTTTTATAGTGCTCATGTTGTGTTAGTGTTTAACTGTTTTGTGCTGTAGTACTTGTGTGTTGTAGTACTTGTTTTGTGTTACAGTGATTGTTTTGTGCATTAGTCCTTGTGCTATAGTGCTTGTATCATAGTGCTTGTTTTGTAGTAGAATGTGTTGTCATGCTTGTGTTGTAGTAGCTTGTGTTGTAGTAGCTTGTGTTGTCATGCTTGTGTTATTGTAGCTTGTGTTGTAGTAGCTTGTGTTGTAGTAGCTTGTGTTGTCATGCTTGTGTTATTGTAGCTTGTGTTGTAGTAGCTTGTGTTGTCATGCTTGTGTTGTCATGCTTGTGTTGTAGTAGCTTGTGTTGTAGTAGCTTGTGTTGTCATGCTTGTGTTATTGTAGCTTGTGTTGTAGTAGCTTGTGTTGTCATGCTTGTGTTATTGTTGCTTGTGTTGTAGTAGCTTGTGTTGTCATGCTTGTGTTGTAGTAGCTTGTGTTGTCGTGCTTGTGTTGTAGTAGCTTGTGTTGTAGTATTTGTATTGTAGTGCTTGTGTTGTAGTAGCTTGTATTGTAGTATTTGTGTTGTAGTGCTTGTGTTGTAGTAGCTTGTGTTGTAGTATTTGTATTGTAGTGCTTGTGTTGTAGTAGCTTGTATTGTAGTATTTGTGTTGTAGTGCTTGTGTTGCAGTAGCTTGTATTGTAGTATTTGTGTTGTAGTGCTTGTGTTGTAGTAGCTTGTATTGTAGTATTTGTGTTGTAGTGCTTGTGTTGTAGTAGCTTGTATTGTAGTATTTGTGTTGTAGTGCTTGTGTTGTAGTAGCTTGTATTGTAGTATTTGTGTTGTAGTGCTTGTGTTGTAGTAGCTTGTATTGTAGTATTTGTGTTGTAGTGCTTGTGTTGCAGTAGCTTGTATTGTAGTATTTGTGTTGTAGTGCTTGTGTTGTAGTAGCTTGTATTGTAGTATTTGTGTTGTAGTGCTTGTGTTATTGTAGCTTGTGTTGTAGTATCTTGTGTTGTCGTGCTTGTGTCGTAGTAGCTTGTGTTGTAGTATTTGTGTTGTAGTAGCTTGTATTGTAGTATTTGTGTTGTAGTGCTTGTGTTGTAGTAGCTTGTATTGTAGTATTTGTGTTGTAGTGCTTGTGTTGCAGTAGCGTGTGTTGTAATGCTTGTGTTGTAGTGCTTTTGTTGTAGTGCTTTTGTTGTAGTACTTGTACTGCAGTACTTATGTTGCATTGCTTGTGTTCTAGTACTTGTGTTGTAGTACTTGTGTTGTAGTACTTGGGTTCTAGGACTTGTGTGGGTTATGTCCTTGGGCTACTGTAGTGTTCTAGGACTTGTGTGGCTGTGATGTGCTCTAGTGCTTGTTCTTCTTGTACTGCTTGTGCTGTGTTCTAGAGGTTGTGCTATTTTGTGACCTAATATTTGGGCTGTATTCTAGTGCTTCCAATGTGTTGTGAGTAACATCATTGTTAAGGGCCCTAAAGCAATACACCACATAACAAACAGAACTAAAACTTTTCACAACATGCAACTTTCCAGTGGCAACCTACTGATGTGAATTATGGAACATTTAGAACATTGCACAATAACTAAAGAAAAAACATTAAAAATTTCAAAACTTTAATGTTACTAAGAATTTTTACAGTGAAACAAAAATAAGAAAAATACTGACTTTTTACCAGATTTGATTATGAAGAGAAAATTGGATCACAAACAGCATTGTCTCTAAGAAACTGAAGTACTTTGACAATTTTATTTGAGGGGAAGTCAATAAGTAAGTCACAAATAGTTACTGGATGGCAGAAAAGTGTAGTTTGTGGTTTCAAAAGGTGTCATTAGATGACGACAACATCGAACTTTATGCCTTGGTTCGTTAGGTGGTGCTAGGTGTTGTATGACGCATTCGCAACACAGAAACAAACGACGACTGTATTTACAGAATGTACCCTCAAAGAACAAAGTGCTGTTGTGCATTTTGGGGGGAGGGGGGAAATGGGCTGCGTGCAAAGGTCATTCATAAGGAAATGCTTCTTGTTTATACTGACAAATGTTTATCCCGTACAGTGGTGCACAGCTGGGTAACAATTTTTTCTCAAGGACGCTCTGAGATTGTTGATGAAGTCTGCTCTGGTTGTCCTGTTGAGACTGCAACAGCTGCATCCCTGCAGCGGGTGGAGGAGATGATAAGAGGTGACAGGCGAGTAATGGTTGACTCTGTAGCAGCTGCAATAAGGTGCTCACATAGTTCAGCATACAACATAATGCATGATTGATTGAAATTTAAGAAAGTGTGCTCAAGGTGGGTACCCAGGCAATTGTGGACGAACACAAAACGAACCGATTAGGCCTGTGGTTTAGAAAACACAGCACGCAGGTCTATGCAGCAGGTTTAGGAGGACTGATAAAACAATGGGACAAGTTGTTATCGTCTTAATTTTTTTTTTTAACAACAACCATTTGTGATTTATAGACTTCCCCTTGTACATCACAGTGGTTTTTAATAAACCGTAATGAAAGACACAGTTCCTGGAACAGGTGGCCTGGTCCATCATGATGACTGTGGACAAAGGGCATTATTGATGGACATGAAGGTGTATAAGGCAGCAAGGCTTGTGACTAAACCAATCAAGAGTCGTCCTGGTATATCATACTGAGAGTGATAATCTGCTAAGAACTTGTTACATGATGATGTCATTTTATCTCCTGACTTGGACAGACTAATTTGTCCAAATTTATTCATCTACCTAAGCTCATCCATCCACCCTCAGATATATTCATCCATCATTTATGCACCCTCAGATCCATCCATCCACATGCAGATCAATACACCCACATAGACAATCCCTTCACCCTCACCCATCCATCATATCAATCCATTCATATAGGCCTATCCCTCCACCTAACTAAAGATTAGTCCTTTCACCTAGACCCATACATCCTCAAACCATCCACCCACCAAGACCAATTCTATATTTATCCACCTTCTGAATCTTACACCCACTAAAATGAATCCACCATCCATCCACCTTCAGATCCAAACAGCTAAACAGACATCCATCAACCATTAACCCTCGTATCCATCCATTCAACTAGACTCTTCCATCCCTGATCTTTCCATGCAACTCAAACACACCTGTCTTCTGTTTTTCTCACCTGTACTTAGGCAACCACCTGACAATTGGAAAAGTGCCCTGCACATTCTGCCAGGTGAATGTCTGACTACAGCACTGTGTCACCTGTTCCTTGACAACAACCCAGTCTGACTTCTCAAAGTCTCCTCCTTCAACATCACTATCCGTCCTGCCCCGTCTTTCACCTGAGTGAACTGGTTCATCTTTTGTTGGCTGAAACAACCAAATATTTAAAGGATAACATCAGGCATATCTCATATCTCTGTCTATCTCTCAAAAAATAGACTGCACAATTTATTGCCTGGTATATTTTGCTGTATCCCATCAGGTGCATATTACAGTATTAAATAAATAAATTAAATAAATAAAGTAAATAAATGAATCCTTTATATATAAAGTACAAACTCAACTACACTCAAATGCAACTGCTTGCTTTTACCATGGTAACCGCAAGGTCACAACCATATCTTTCTGTTTACAAAGTTCAGGATGGAGGTAACAAATCATGGTAGCTTTAAGAAATCTTCAAATTCTTCATACCTCATCCAATGGCAGAGTGCTGAGATTTAATGAAGCCGTCACAGCCTATGGTGATGGCGACTGTGACTAGCAAGACCCGCCCACGTTAAGAAAAGTCTGTTACAATTATAGCGTGGGATTTCCAGACCGTTGTCACCATCATTTGATTTAGTGTGTTTCTTCTCAGACGCTCAGCTCTCATCATTTCTGGAATTTCTTCTTCAATTCTCATTTCCTTCATGATTTGACCCCTCCATGCAACATGGCCCATAGCATTTTGCTCCCATCAGTTCCCTTAATACTGTATCAATCATGTCCCGCTTCCATACATCATTATTCGTAGTAGAGGTCAGCCTCGACATCTTCTACCCCTCTGTAACTCACTATAGAAGATGCCCATAGGGACTCTACCATCCTCCATTCCCCAGGTTTGACCTAGCCGCTTGAGCTTTCATAAACTGAGCACTGAGAAAACTGCTGTAATAACTGCTCTTTCTAATACCTCAGTGTTTTTTATCTTGCCTTAATGGCAAATATTGTTCTTAGACATTGCATGTGAAAGCTTAAGTGCTGACTGACTTGGAAATTCTCGCCTTCTACCTTCTCTTGAGGTTCTGAGTCTATAACCTCAGCTCCATTGCCTGCAGTAGATTTCCACAAAAAGAGTGGTTTGTATGCTGTGTTGTGGTTTACAGCCAGTGCGTGATATCTGTGCCCTTCAACCCAATATATCCACTTGCATCAAACCTATAATTAGTCCCTTTTTACAACATGCATATTAGGGGAGGATTCGGTTCAATCTCTTGCCCCAAAACAGGGCACTGGAACCCACATGTGTTCACGAGTTACAGCTGACAGCAGTTACCGTAGGAAAATAACCACTAGCACTTTTCAAAAGATATGATCACTGATGGGAGCTGCTGTAGTATACTGACTAGATGCTTGCCTCCAAAATGCAAGGTCATAGGTTCAAATCCAAAGGGAGACTTGACTTTTTATCTTAAAAAATGACCATGGCTCCCAGGTGTACCTGGCCTTAAATAGGTAGTAGGCCAAGTCCTGGAAAGTAAAGATGGCCAGCATAATGCTGACCAAATATTGCACCAAGTGCTGATTGGTGTATAAATTATAGATCTAGTACTACATGCCCAATATGCCTAAAGGCGTGAAAAAGGGTCATTTACTTCACTTTTACATGATCACTGACATAATGCAACTTAAATCACTTTCAAACAGCGTGTGATGAGTGACTGGCTCATCCTCTGGAAACCCAACCATTGTGCAATGTGTTCATTACTTTTCAAATGTGGTCAGAGTACACTAAATAAAACTGGCTTCATTTGCAGTGCCACTTTTACTGAATTTTGCTCTGTAGGGATCAAGCTGCATGAACAACAAATGGTCTCTACAAAACTGCCCAGGCTTTGTGCTATGGAGAGAAGGGTTTTTATCCCTGGCCTTAATTGGTTAAGCCATGGGCTGTGATTGCCACAAATTCTTACAGCACAGTGAAACAATATGGTGACAAGACAGAGGGGGCCAACAACAACAATATTCATAGCCTCTTTAAAAGATACAGTCTAATCATTCCCTATAACGGCTTTTTCCTTTCCACCCCATTCCTGGGCTTTAGCTAGACACACCCAGACAAAAGAGTTAATGATGATGTTCAGCTACTAAAATATATATATATATTAACTGCTTTCAAACTGAACAAAACTGCTGTGGTACTTACTGTAGTGAAGTTGGCGGTTTGAATGGCCGAGCCACTAGAGAAAGTTAATACATTTAAGTAGCCCTAATCCAGGTAACATTCTCATTTAATGAATCCCAGCTGTCACTTTTACAGCTAGGGGCACATGTGTCATGCACATACATTATGAAGTCTACATTTCTACCAACAATATCTGCAGGTGTGTCAAAATGAATTCACAGCTCACATGACTTAGGTCATTAAATTCTTAATTTCAGTCAACTATAGCTCACCTCACAGATCTTCATTTTGTACATGAAAGTGGCTCACACACACACACATTCAAAAACAAGGCTATAAAAGACATATGGTTGTGGGGTTACTGAACATGTTTCACATTCCTTTCATGTACCAGGGTTTTATTTCCTCAGTGAATGGTTTATAAAGAGACCGCTTCTTGTTGCTCTGGAACAGTTTGGTGAAAGGTGGCCAGGGGAAGGGATTTGGGTCTCTCCATGTCATATTTTCCAAGGCAGTGGTTGGGGCACACCCTCTCCCCCTTTTTGCAGTTAATGTTTGTTGTGGAGATGGCGCAGAAATGTAAGGAAATGAAAAAGCAGATTTTCTGGCTACAAAAGCAACAGCTCGTTGCCCAGCTTCTGAGTTGAGTGCATGGCGTGACACTGTGAGCTGCAGATTTCATTTGGAATGTTTTTCGACTGACCAACGTGGTGATGTGATTTGTAGATTCAGAAAATGGCGCGATGCCGGTTGTCGCAATATTGGTGGGGCCATTGTTTGATTAAAATTGATCACGTGTGCAACTGCTGATCTTTTAATGACTTCTGCTACCATCAATGATGAACTGCATTTCTAACGTTGGACTGTTTGTGTTAGCACTTCGGATGGCTACCATATGCTTTTAATGCGAGTGTATGATAGATTTGCTGAGACAGGAGTTTGTCAGTCTTTCCATAAGGGACTGTGATAAACATTCTGTGTGTTTTTCGTTGGCACAGGAGCGGAGCAAAGATGGGGTGACCCGTTTGCTATGCAGCTGAAATTAAAATTACCAGATTACCAGATTACTCGTACTGGGACCAAGAAGACATTCTGAAGACCATCTATGAACGAATGTTGATAGAAGACATGAGGTCAGATGAAATAATATGGGTAAGAATATGTGAACGAGGAATTAGATATAGATCAAGCAAGGAGGGACACATAAGATGAAGAGAATGACAAGTTTGCTATGTGAACATTTAGCATCCACACCCTTAAGACGTTTGCTGCAGGAGCACCTATGTGTGCTGGTGTGCAATGATGTCGACTCTTGAATCAGTAAGCCATTCCACATTAGCTAGGAACTTGTGGGGTTGAAAGAGTTATTACTCCATGGTAGTCGACAAGAGAGGCAAAGGAAGGCGGAGACAGATGTTTGTGGACAGTTTGCAATGATGCAACCAACACACATCCCATTAAAATATCAAAGAACAGAGAAGAGTGGAAAGTTATAATTGCCAGGAAGTGCTAAATAAAACATAAAAAAACTCAACAGAGGGAATGGAAAACATGCGCCCACAAATATAACCAAACTCAGCTGTGAATAATCATTCCTATCATGTACACTCGGGAGCAACAATGGAGACTGCACAGAAGAAGTCAGAAACAGACCCTGTTTAGCTCTTCAGTGGCTAAACAGCAGGAAGAACCTATTATGGCACAGCACCAAAGCCAGTCAAAGTCAACATTTTGAGACAATGTACTTTTACCAATGGTAACCTATAGATAAGAGTAAATAATTCTTACACAATATGGAGCTTTTGAAATGAAATGCTACAAAACATTCTTAGAATACCACGGACCAAGGAAAATAAAAATCAACATCCTACATGATCTGAACACTGGGGCGAATCGGCTCATAAACAGCATTCTGTCCCAAAAATTAGGCTATTTTGGCAATTTTAAATATCATGGTGACTTGGTGAGAACGGCGATGGAGGGTAAAGTTTCTGGAAAATGAGGCAGAGGCAGACCTCCGCAAATGTGAATACAAGACATTGTAGATGCAATGGATATGAAAGCACACAGGGCTGGAAAACTGAGAAGAGAAAGAGAGACTTTCATGTGTGCTGTGACGAGAGTGATGTTCTGTAAAGGAAATACTAATCAATAATGATGATTACGTACTTCTGAAAGATGTAAGTGTTCATTCTTCAACAAACTAACTGGAGAAATGGAGCTTAGAATAAAGGTTGTCATTATGAGCATGTATTGATCCACTCACCGAACTGAGCTGAGAATAATCATTGATCCCTCCCTGATCACTGAAAACAGTGTTTATTCACCAACCTACCAAACTGAGCTGAGAATAATCATTGATAAACTCCCTGTTCACTGAAAACAGTGTCTATACACCAACCTACCAAACTGAGCTGAGAATAATCATTGATACCCTCCCTGTTCACTGAAAACAGTGTTTATACACCAACCTACCAAACTGAGCTGAGAATAATCATTGATAAACTCCCTGTTCACTGAAAACAGTGTCTATACACCAACCTACCAAACTGAGCTGAGAATAATCATTGATACCCTCCCTGTTCACTGAAAACAGTGTCTATACACCAACCTACCAAACTGAGCTGAGAATAATCATTGTTACCCTCCCTGTTCACTGAAAACAGTGTTTATACACCAACCTACCAAACTGAGCTGAGAATAATCATTGATACCCTCTCCCTGTTCACTGAAAACAGTGTTTATACACCAACCTACCAAACTGAGCTGAGAATAATCATTGATACCCTCCCTGTTCACTGAAAACAGTGTTTATACACCAACCTACCAAACTGAGCTGAGAATAATCATTGATACCCTCCCTGTTCACTGAAAACAGTGTCTATACACCAACCTACCAAACTGAGCTGAGAATAATCATTGATACCCTCCCTGTTCACTGAAAACAGTGTTTATACACCAACCTACCAAACTGAGCTGAGAATAATCATTGATACCCTCCCCTCCCTGTTCACTGAAATCAGTGTTTATACACCAACCTACCAAACTGAGTAGGGAATCCTTACTGTCCTGAATATGAAGCAGACTGATACCTTCATCCCTCATATTGACATGACAACACAACACACTGTTCCCAAAGTGAACCGTTTTCACAGAGATATAGTGAACAATAGGCCGGCTCAGGGATATATCTGCCCAGTGTTACCACCTGGATTACTGTAATAAAGAGTACTGCTGTATGTTGTGACATAAAACTACAGGGTGTCTACAAAACACTGACTTGAGAAAAACAGAAATCCTCCAACAGATATCAACTGCAGGCTTGCTCAAATACAAACAGCAGCATCAGAAGGAACCAAAACACTTAGGATAGAAACAGAAATCTCAGTGAACAACAATAAAGGGATGATGAGTGTGCTTGCAGAGATTATATCAGTTTGACAAGAAGAATGCCAAATAATAATAAGAAAAAAAAAGCTTTAATCAATCAAATGAACTGTCACTAAACCTAAGACATAAAGACAGCCGTAATCATCTAGATACTTAACTTAACCAGGACAGACAAACCTGGCACTCAACAATGGCGAGACTGTGGTGAAGTCATTAAACCATCTGCCTAGCGCTATGAAAGTTGTAGGTTTGATTTTGGGCTTTATCTTTTGAACGACAAGTGCAGGTGCTGTGGTGATGTCGGTAGAGATACAGTTGTGTGCTTCATGCAGCACTGTCAGCTGGCAAATACCCAACCACACTGCAGAGAGAGATCTAAATTTACAGGATAAAACCCAGTGCCAAGAAGTCCATTCCAACTCAACAAGAACTGAAGGTTAAACAGGGACCAACCACTTTATTACAATACAGGCTGGAAGTTCTCAAACAATATCTGACAATAGTCCTGAAAGTGCTGTCACTTCAAAGACCGCAGACATGTCACTCCTAATTGATTGCACATTATAACCATTACAACCCTATGTTCAGACATCTACTACACAGCTGCTCAGGTTTTACTTCATAAATATGATGGGTAAAATGTTGCAGTGTCCGCGGATTCTTGATGGCAATGATTGTGATAAAAATATTAAAGAATATTTCTACAGGTGTAGGGAAAAACATAACACACTTGTGAAAGATATTTGCTAATCTATGAATTTGGACATAGGAGGGCCCTTCTTCACGCCTATGGGTGCAGTAGGCATATAGGACTAGACCTATAGAATCTGGACATATATGGAATTAAACCAGTGGCCCAAGACAGACAAGTAAGGAATGACATGACAGAGAGGTTTATCACCCGCCAAATGATGATGAAGAAAAACATGCAAAGCACAGTGCTAGCAAAAATGTTGGACAGACAGGCATCATTATTCACACTATTGCCTTCTCGTGTGACTAATTAGGGGTGTTTCCATCATTCAGAGTGCATGGGCCTGAGAGGCAAGCAACTAACACTCTGCTTGCATTTAAGCCAAATCTGTAAAACAGACATGCACACAAAACTCAAGTTCTGGAAAAAGACCAAAGTCCAGAAGTGAACAAACAGCTACAACTTTCTTCTGTAGATTGCAGCCAGTGAACATCAAGAAGAAGAAGATTCACACCATTTGATACCGCACAATACTTGATGATGATGATGATGATTACGACAGGGACAACAGAAAATTAATCATGAGGACCACTACTGTAGCCTTCTTGGTGGCGAGCCCTCACCACACAGTGTGTCAGAGACACACCACACAGTGTGTCAGAGACACACCATACTCTTGCAATCAATCACTTTAATGGGAAACTAGCAACCTTTGGGATAAGGTTCTGCAGCTTTCACAATTTGTGCTCAGAAAACCCTGTTTGTCAATGCTCAGTTGAAAGGTAACTATAGAGATGGGCATCTCTGTGGAGCACACACAACACACCCATCCATTATTGTACAAGTTTGCAAGCGGACCTCCTGTGAAGTTTTTGGTGTCCCTGATTTGCCTTCTTTTCCCTCTCTTTCTTCAGTTACCTCAGTGAAGTGTTGGGAGTGGGAGCTGGGATCTTAGATCGTATATGGTGCTCTTTTTACTGCACTGTGTAAGTTAGTCTTCATTTTCTTTAAGTTTGTTCTTGTTGTCATTCTTTTTCATGGTCTTCTCTGGGCTCTGTGTTTATTACATTTCTTCATCATGGCTTTCTTTGGTGGTTGCTACAACGGCATACTTATCAGATGGCCGGACACTGCATTTCCTTTGTTGCTATTTTCACTTGCCTTGGTTCGACAAAACTCTCTCTCTTAGTTATAACTTTTACAGCAAATCACAGATAAGCCCAGCCACCAGACACTAAGTTATTTAAATATTAACTCTGTGGAGAACACACACCCTCCTAAAACATTTATACTATACATACACTATTTTATGTTGCTCTAGGACAGCAGCTCAGAACCTGTATGTCGCGACCCTTTCACAACCACCGGAAAACACATATTCACTGAAGTTATGAAGTAGCAAAGAAATAATTTTATGGCTGGGGGGTGATCACAACATGAAGAACTGTTTTAAAGGGTTGCTGCGTTAGGAAGGTTGAGAACCATTGCTCTATGGCATTACACCATGGTGGTCTGGAGAGAATGGTGATGGAGGGGTCATTTTCTGGAAAATAAGGCAGAGGCTGACCTCTGTGAAAGTAGATACAGGACACTGAAGATGTATTGTAACTGTAACTGGGTTCACCACCATGTGGATCTCACTTTCCCCACAACCTTTGTGGTGGGGGCCCCTTTCTCTCAAGATTTACCAAACACAACTTGCCCTCACATATTTCACATATCCTTACCTAAATATTTTTAATCACCTTGGTCAATCATATCATGTATATAAATGGGTCCTCTCACACACTTTGACCTCTGGCATACTTGTTGCTATTGTCAGTTCACACACAGCAACAGGCAAATGACCACCGTCTTATATGTGGCTTAGAATATATGAAGACCTAACACTTCATATCTCAATGTTCATATCAGCTAGGGGACTATTCTTACTTTTTGATCCACACAGCAGTATTGATTTAACACTACAATTAAATATTGAAAGTTGAGCATTTAAAAAAACAAGAAAAAGTGAAGGATCTTTTTTTTTTTACACCAATGGCACATCAGGCATACTTGCATACTTTCCTTTCTTTACGTTCACCAGCTGTAAACTCTGGCAGAATGTTCTGGTTGTGCATCCATTTCTAGACTTTAGTCTTGTTACAGAACTTGAGCTCTGCATGCACATTTGTTTTAAAAATCTGGCTTATCTGTATGCAGACGGCTGGTCCCTAGCCTCTCTGGCAGATGCACTCTGACTTGAAGTAAACTCCCCATAAAAAGTCACCTTGTATGACATACTTTTTAGTTAGACAGGAGTCCATTCCCCCCACCCTTTTTTTTTTACTGGGGACCGAGATCTAACACATGGAACATCAGGCACATGGTGATGGGCCAGTATTCTTCTAGATCAAGTGACCGGCACTCAAGTAGTGAAAGGGGAGCCGAGTTAGCGAAGTCAATAAAAAGCTCGCTTTCAAATCCAGCTGCGACTCGCTGCAGCCACGGTCAGTGTTTGAAACCGGGCAGTTCCCGGGGTTGACCCAGCCTCTAGAAAATGGGTACCAGAATTGACATTCTAGGGTAAATAGAGGAACGTCGCTGTAGCTACAGAGTTACGTGCGAACGGCGACACAGGCGGACAATTGTTATCAGCTGTCAGTTGCTGGTTCACATCTCCCGACTTTACCTTTACTCAGCAGTGATGTGCTCAACATTACACCTTTGCTTCCCAGGACATAACTCTGTACTAATTTCAGCATGGGCCGACCTGGAAGCCAAGATTAATTTTGAAGAAAAAAAAAACATCTGCCACAATGTTGATTTCTGAGTTTAGTGCTAGATTTAATTTCTTGTGATTTCCACAAAATTCAACTAACCATGAACAAATTTCAGTGTGTACATGTGTAGAAATCTAATGTATCCATTTGTTAATCTGAGATAATCATATGCAACCTTCTTCATTATAGTCATATGCAACCTTCTGTATTAACAGTAAATTTGTTTGGAAATCTTGTGAGGCCAGATTGTATTAAAAATTAAAATTAACTGCAAAATTATTATCATATATTTTCTCACTCACATTTAGGGACACCCTGAAACATATACTGAGACCTCAGTAAGGTCACTAACTCTGGTGCACCAGCAGTTCAAATATAAATAATATCAGATATGATCACACTGTTGATTGTTTTAGCTGCTAATTTGCTGTGTGACGTGAATCATATATAGGGTGTCCATTTATTGAACCCTTCCCTGATGAACTGGGAATAATAGTCAGACATATTTGTCACAGTACAAATGAATGAGTGAATCAAGAACTGACATTACTGTACTGGGGACATTCCTATACATCAAGGCTACTCAACTATGTTTACTCACGGTCCACAATGTTGAAAATGTCGATTGTTACAAGCCAGAGTCCTGAGCGCCAGCACAGAAAGATCAGTTTTGACAATGATTCACGGGGCCACTTGCGGGCCAAATTCAACAATCGGGCCTCTAGATGATTAGCCCTGAACACACGCTCTGTCCTCTTCCTCAGTGGTCAACGGAGTTCCCAGACTGAGGATGTCAGTTGCAACCTGACTAAAAGTTCACCTGTTTTCCCCTGCATGTAGAAACATCATCCACACCTGCTGCTCACTACCTGCTGAATCACTGCTCTGTCTGTTCTGTTACAGTGTTCACTTGACCCCAGAGAGCCTTAACCACATCTGCTTTATCATGACGTGAGGCCTCTTTTTTTATGTGATGCATCTTTAGAATATGATATGATCTTTATGAATATGATATGTCCTAGATTTGTTTAGATTAATCTGATGAGTGGTGGTCTCTATATCAGGCTAGCCGTCTAGACTTCCCATAACTCTTCCGAATACGGTTTTAGACTTGGTTGACTCCTGACCCAATTCTGATGTCCTACTGTATTTCACGGTTGGTTCATTTTTTCGGGCTATTGTTTTAGGATGAGGTAACCAAACCACCTTTAGTGGCCTTTTATGACATGCCTGATAGGGTGAAGTGTTACTATTCATGGCTTCCAGGGATGGCTCTGGTAAAATGTTGAATTAAGAATCAACATCACAGCCCTTGGGACACTCCCATAAGTGCTCAGTCCCCATCTTCAGCAGCAAGCGAAAGGTTCCAATTCCGATGGTACCAGTAACTGTCTGATTGTACATCTGTCTCATCCTTCCCCTGAGTGTTGAGATCCCCTGGTAACTCCTTGCAGCACCATTCTCCTTAGACCGTAGTGATCTATCTGCACCTCCGTACTGTTAACTCGCTCCCAAAGGGCTCTCACAATATCTAACTTGTCATCCATGAATTCACCACCAAGTGGTGCAAAGCTAGCCAGTCTATCTGCCTGCTCATTTATCAACACACTGGTATGACCTGGAGAAACATCTAAAGGATGCTAACTACCCGGGACCTCTGACTGAAAATCTGTATTGTTCATACTTACTGCACTTGAAGATAAGTCAACAGCCATGCCTCAACCTAGAGGGTTTCAGAGACTTTGTTATTCAAAGCAGTGGCAGACCACAGTAAACTGAAGAGCATTTTTTAGATGACTACCCAAAATAGGTAACAGTGTGGTTATCTGGCACATGGAAATAAACATCCCACTCCTCAAAGTGAAAAAAGTAAAGTTCCCTTTTCACGCCTTTCGGCGCATCGGGCATATGGGACAGAGCGTCCCATATTTTTACAGACCATCAGCACTCTGTGGGTAATGTGGTCAGCATTACGCCGGCTGTCTTTACTTTCCCAGGACAGCCCATCCTGGTACCCATTTTAGGCTGGGTCGACCTGCGACGTCCCATACCACGACGAAAATCCACGCGGCCTGCAGTGGGTTTCGATCGCGGTATGCTGGCTTACGAGTCGGACTCGCAACGCCTTAGCCACGGACGCCGCACTTTTGGAAGCATTATCCTGCAGATGCAATGTCTTGTGCATGACCTATACCACAGACACAGAGAGAGGGTGGAGAGAGACGAGAGAGGCGGTGACACGAACAAACACAGTATATATGGTATATACTGGAAATAATAAACACAGAACATGTACAGGCAGCAAACAGAAGCTTCAAGAATTGACAATCATTTTGAAAATAATCCAGGTCATAAAGAGGGGTGTACAAAAAAGATGAGTATTATCACATGAATTGTTTTCATTATATAGTGAATATATATGTTATAGATCATGGATATGCCAGGAATTGTAGTTGGTGGTGGTAACATAAACAACCTACGTTATGCCAAGACACATCCTGATCATGACAGGTCAGAAACTACAGGGATTGCTAGATTTGGTGGTGGTAAAAAAGAAAAGACAAAATGCACCTCAGCTTAAATAATGTAAAGGCTTCTGAGAGCTTTTTGTCTTGGCATGGCGGTTTCTCAGTATATGAACTGATACATGCTGCTGAAAACTGTAGATTATCGATAGATATGACTGCTCACGGGGATGGCAACATCATTAAGATAACACAGGGAGGGGCTGAAGAGGCTTCAAAGGACTTGGTGATGTAGACTGGTTGGACATAAGAGCCAAGGTTATTTATATACATAAAAAAGATGGGCTCTGTTCGGATCTGATTTTCACATTATGATGGTTCCTAAAGAGGAATAGCTTGCTTCAATTTGCAGTAATAATTATTTTATTTTGTGCTGAAAAGCACTTTGATACAATATACTTAAATACCACATATGAAATTTATGAAGGAATAAAAATCAAGCTTCTCTATGTAACAGGCTGGCAGAGTAGAAGTGTGGATGGTTGGCCTATTACAATTTTGGTTTCATAGCCCCTGGCTGCCTGCACTGGCAGGGTTACTTAGTGGAACTCTTCTGTAGTGCCCAGCAAGTCACAAGAGTTGTGAAGGGGATATAAGGCCTGGTACAAGAGACCACTTTCCCTTTCCCACTGCAGCTACTCTAGAGGCAAGAAGCCCTTCCTTTTTTGTCACTTAAACTGCACATGGCTGAAGCACAAATTAGGGACCGACGGAATGAGTTCTTGGTTATTTTATGTTGTTAGTAATGTTTTGTTGTTGTTTTTAAGCATTGTTTTATATTGCTTACTTGTGTAAAATAACATTTAGGCTAGCTTTTCCATTTTAAAAAAAATTAATAATCTAATTAGATATAATATAAGTTGTTATAATACTTTAAAATGTAGTAACTTTGCGAAAGGCACACCCCAGGTTTGGTCACACTGATCTCCATAGTGAGAGATCAGATAAGCTAAGTGGTCTTTAATGGTGGACGGACGGGGGGAAGACAGCGACTAATCCCTCATTATCAGAGCATTAATCTTAAAAGTGGGGCTTACAGGAAAGTAGTGATTAAATTAGTTATATTACTTCAGATTATGGCAGTTTATCACCGTGAGGTTAACATGTATAGCTAGTAAGGAACTTTAGACATGTCACAGCATGACTCTATCAACCACGCTGACAAAGGTGTCGGTGAGATCTGCTATAGATGGCATGTACCTTTCTCAGTAATACTAAGCTCAAGTGTAGGAATAGATCTTATGACAGGGTTCCTATAATCAATAAATGTAAGGATTTAAGTGATGTTTTACTTAAAAGATTTACTTCCATGCATGAATAATTCAAGATTTTAGCAATAGGGAAGGGGTTATTGTATGAACCGGGGTTAAGTAAGGGATTATAATATAAATAATACATTATAATTATAGTATAGGATAAGAGGAGGAATTAGAAGCATAGGTGTACTCATCATTATATATGATTATGAATATCAGTAATAATCAGTTTATTTTTAACCACTGAGGTTCTGATGGGAAACCATTGAGGTTGATGGGGTAACCATTGGGGTTTTGGTGCGGAAACCATTGTGGTTTTGATGCGGTGTACTGGAAACATTATGTGAAATAATCACTGGGTGTTTATATGTTGTATTTAACACTTTATGGTGTGATGTACTTATATAGACCACTACTATTATTGTGAGATGTGTTGTATATTTTGGCTATCCTCAGAATAACGGTCCTAAATTATCGAGGCAGAAAATATACCCTAACAGAGCCTCAATTGCGCACTTTCTGGGACTATAACGCCACCACCGAATTGCAAACTTCCGGGGACTTCCGCCACCGCCGAGAGTATCCCCCATGCTGCGTGGCTAAACTAGATGGCTAGGACTCACGAGCAAATAAAATGAACGAAGCTGCAGGAGATGCGATAGCTGCTGCTCGTGAGTCCCAGCCATCTCGTTTAGACCCAATCCACGGCACATGAGCGGCGTGGAGGATACCCTCGGCGGTGGCGGAAGTTTGCAATTTTGTGGTGGCGTTATAGTCCCCGGAAGTGTGCAATTGACACGTGACTGAGGCTCTGTTATGGTATATTTTCCACCTCGATAATTTAGGACCGTTATTCGGAGGATAGCCTATATTTTATGGTACTCATGAGTTCCCAGCCTGGTGGCTGAATTAGTACACTTGAGTAGGTGGTGCTACAGCAGAACTGATAGCCTTAATTGTAAATGGTGATTAAACCCAGCGTCGATGGCGCTAAATGGCACTGATGACTGCTATTGCAAATGATATTTGGCACAAGATGCCTAGGTCAGAAGATGCAAAGGTACCTTACTATGAAACATGTGTATGTGTAAATGTTGAAGTGGATCGGGAATCATATATTTGTTATTTCACAGATAACGGTACTACATGGTTGCTGGTCTGCAGTAGAGCAGCTGCAGATAAAGAGCACCCTCTGTATGAAGTTTTGGATGCAGTTAACCCTCAGAGGCTGAAAAGGGGAAACTCATGGATGGCTCAAGCAGAAGACACAATAAGACAAGTAGGCATGCTGAAGAACATTGGGCGAGGAGAGGAGTGGTCAGAGTCTTCTTCTTCTGCCTTTCTATCCCCCAATGGAGCATAGGCCATCAACCAACTCACGCCAAGTCGTTCTATCCTTCGCC